TGTGGGCACGTTTGCAGAAGCCTTGGCAAGCTTTTAGGCTCAAATTTAGCCCAAACGCACATAAAGATACGTATGTATGTATATTCAGTCAACTCAAAACCTATATTGCATACTGCAATATATATTAGCCATTTGGATAAACATTTAAGTACAACTCATAAACATATATAAACTTGACGTTGTCAAATGTTTCTGGCAACGCCTCTTACCTTCTTGGTCATTGGAAGAGGCCTGCGTCGGAGCCGCCGCTGATGTGGTGCTCGCCTCCATCTCGCCACACGCAATTATAGGTTATGTTCAAGAAAACTGACGACGAACACTCCTATGCAGCGCAATCTTCCCAGATAAACTTATCAACAAGGTGCAAACAATAGGTACTTGTGAACAATTTTTTTCACTCCAGCACAGTCCCGGCCGTTTACACACGCACACACATCGATCGACGTATGCTTAACAAGAGCCAATTTTATCACTACACATATATGTATGTATTCTTAATGTTTACCACTAAAATGTGTTACTAAAACACATTCAATCATACGAATACATATACACGAACTAGTTGTGCTTAATTGTGGATTTAGCAAAATTTGTTTGCAAATTCCAAGTTAAAATGAAAATCTGCAAAATTTTCTCTGTACACTACACAACTTGACACCACTCACTTCGTATTCAATATGGCGACGACTTTTGCTTTGTCGTACAAACAAAAATTTTTCTTTTTCATTGCTGCAGCTCGGCCGACTTGTTCGACAGCATTTGCTTCGTTGCCTAAATTGCCGGTCATGTGCTGGAAGAAGTCAGAAAACCAGGTGCGAGCGAATAGGCGCATACGAAACGTCATTAGCCGACAGATGGCCGACAGCAATCGTGTTGCCCTCGTGTGTGTTTCGCTTTATCCGCCATATTGACGTACAACATTGGGCCATCGTGTGGTCCAACAGAGCTAAACGAGTCAAGTTTATATGTATACATAAAAAAGTGGACCTACCCAGAAATGCAGAAAAAATTGAATTCTTGACGATCGGTGAGTCAAAGCTTCATAACAAGTAAGAATAAACTGTAGTTCGAGTAAGATTTGGGTTATATGTACTTTAAAATCTGAAATTCCAGCAGTATTTTTATATCTTCTATATATAAGTACATAGTATATATCTGTAGTATCGGCAAATGTGGACCTAGATATTTCTGTAATTATGCATCTGTTATAAATAGTGGTTCAGAATTCGGATCGTTTTTTTTTTTTTGAAGAACACAGACTCGAAATCGGAAATGTTCGTG